AATCGTGATCGAAATTATAATGCCTTGTTCCTTATCAGTGCCTGTATGGCGTTATCTATACTGTATTAAAATTCACGTATGTTTAAAACGCCACATGAAACGATAAAACGCTTTAGATAAAAAAAAAATACAGCAAATATTAGTCATTTGTAATTTACTACTTTCGACTTCCACAGCGTTTGTATTTAACGAATACCTTGCGAGGTTTCATATGGTCGAAACAGCCATGCAGACTACGTGGTTCCTTTTCAAATAGAAAAAGAAATATAAAGTAAAATGCAAATAATTTTGAATGGGGTGGCATACAAAAGTTTTTTTTGTGATAAAAGAAAGTGCGTAGTGTATTCGGTAATTTGATAATATACAAATATATACCAATGCATGTGACGAAACTTGAAAGTACGATTTTACTGGTGAGATGTGTAAACGAGAAATAGTTATCAATCAAAGCCTCATTACTAGAAACAGTCTAGAATTGTTTGTTTATGCTATCAATGACTTCCTTGAGCAGACTGCAACTCCAGTCTGTCAGTTCTGTAAATGAAGAAATGAATTTATGAGGAGACAGCGGCGACCCGCATTTTATCCCTTTACATTATCTTCAGTGTCTTGTTTTGTTATATTTCACAAACTGGAATAGAAATATCAAGAAACCAAATCGATCAGTAGGCTTGCATGCTGCCTCAGGCTGACACGGACTTCCTAATCTGATATCCTTTTCCATTTTCTTTCAAACAGAGAATCTCGGTTCCATTTCTTTCAGAGAAGCTTTCCTGGGAACAAAGAATCTCGTTTCCAGTTTCACATTTTCTTTCGAACAAAGAATCTCGTTTCAGTTTATCCATTTTCTTTAGAAGTCTTTTCGAATCCTTTTCCATTTTCTTTCGAGAAGTAAGTTAATCTCGTTTCCAGTTTCCATTTCTTTCGAACAAAGAATCTCGTTTGTTTCGAACAAAGAATCTCGTTTCCTGTTTCATCCTTTTCCATTTTCTTTCGAACAAAGAATCTCGTTTCCAGCATTTTCTTTTCTCGGCTTTAATCATCCTTTCCATTTTCTTTGGAATTTCTTTCGAACAAAGAATCTCGTTTCCAGAGAATCTCGGTTTCATCCTTTTCCATTTTCTTTCGAACAAAGAATTCCAGTTTCATCCTTTTCCATTTTCTTTCGAACAAAGAAATTTTCTTTCGAACAAAGAATCTCGTTTATCTCGTTTCCAGTTTCATCCTTTTCCATTTCTTTTCTCGGTTCAAGTTTTCTTTTTTTCATCCTTTTCATTTTTTCGAACAAAGAACAGTTTCCCTCGTTTTTTGTTCAAACAGAGAATCTCGTTTCCAGTTTCATCCTTTTCCATTTTCTTTCGAACAGAGAATCTCGTTTCCTGTTCAACCCTAACGTCTCGACCCCAAGCACCAAGGAAGACCTAGCTCTCACAGTGGCTCACGAATTGGCTCACCAGTGGTTCGGAAATCTCGTCACGCCCGCCTGGTGGGACGACCTATGGCTCAAGGAAGGATTTGCGACCTATCTTAGTTACGTTGCCATGGATTATGTGAGTTCCTTGCGAAGTCTACATATATATTTTTAAAACCCTGGTACATTAGTAAAAAGAGAGAGAGAAATAAATGGGGGCAGTATGGAAGTAATGAGTGATGTTTCTGGGAATCTCAATTTTTAATCTGAAATCATTCCCTGTAAATTGTAATCAAATCTGATAAATGCAATAAATGATCAGTTTCTCAAATCAAATCTGAAAAATGCAATAAATGATCAGTTTCTCACCTAAATCAAACAGGCAGTTAAAGCCAAGTCATGATACAGCATTGTTTGGGAAAAAATATGCCTTCTGATGCACAGTACTGGTCTATTCCCGTGTAAATACCACTGACAGTACCACTTCTCCTGATGCGTTATTTCTTGTATAATAATGTATTTACAGTACTAAAGATATGTGTAAAACACAACACTGAATATGCAAAAACGCCCTTCAACATTCAAGTTGTGGAATCTCTTCTCTATTTTCCACCAAGGATACCCCCTTGTACCCATTCCAATTTCTTTTATAATTTCTTTTCAGGTCGAACCCAGTTGGAAGGTGTTGGAAACCGTCGTCTCCCGAACCCTCCAACCGGTCATGAACTTGGACAGTTTGGATTCATCTCACCAAATCAGCATCCCCGTTGGCGACCCGGATGACATCAACGAAATTTTTGATGCCATATCATATAGCAAAGGTTGGTTAAGCCATTATCATAGTAGTTATGTTCATCATCCTTTTTGTGATAATGTTTTGGATATCAATGCTTCCTTTCTATAACTACAGGGGCTTCCATCGTCCGAATGATGGCCTACTTCCTTAATGGCGCCACCTTTGTAAAAGGACTGAAAGACTACCTAAACGAACTGTAAGTGAATCCTTTAATTCTGTATATTTCTTCTCGGTGATAAAATTAACACAGTTGATAGTAATAAGGGTTCATTTCTTCATTCATATGAATATTCCCCAGAAAGTACAAGAATGCAGTGCAGGATGACTTGTGGCAATACTTGACCGTCGCAGCTCACAAGGATGGCACTCTACCAGAAGATTTAAGTGTAAAAGTGATAATGGACACCTGGACACTGCAGAAGGGCTATCCTGTCATCCATGTCACGAGAAGTGCTGACGGTACTTCGGCTACCGTCTCTCAGGTATATATGCAAAGCACGTAGCTTGAAGTATGTTTCAAGTATAACAATGTTTCATGTAATCTTAAATCTATTCACAACTTTCCGTTTCAGGAGCGATTCCTTTTAGAAAAGAATGCGAACTCAAGTGACACACACGTCTACAATTGGTGGGTTCCACTAACATACACATACCAAAGTGAGGCTAACTTTAGTCAGACTCAGGCCATGGCGTGGATGAGGGACTCTGGGGAAAACCTCACCATCACGTCTTTACCTGCCAAAGACCAGTGGGTCATCTTCAACCTGCAGCAGACGGGCTACTATCGAGTCAACTACGACGACCACAACTGGAACCTCCTCATCCAGCAGCTGAAGGACGACCACGAACTTATCAACGTCGTCAACCGAGGACAGATCATCGATGATGCAATGAATCTTGCTAAAGCTGGTACAGTGACTGGCTTTTGTTTCATTTTCTTAAAGCCTGTGTGTATTTTTCACCTGGTAGCACATTGGGAACTTAATATTAGACAGTTGAATTTGAAAGTGGGGCGATCCCAAATTCATCCGCCAGTAACACCAACTGAAAATGTTGAAGATTTACATTCAATCGCTCTGTTATCGTGCTATCCAGGACGCATATTTAGATCTCAGAAACAATGTTAGGAACGAAGTTATCGATTTTGATAATGAATAATGCAGTATGATTGAAATGGAAAACACAGTATTCAAATAACAAATATATTCTACACCTACAGGTCGCCTAAGCTACGAAACTGCATTGGGTTTATACGCATACCTATGGAAAGAAATTGAATATTTGCCCTGGTCTGTAGCTGTCGGTGAATTACAGTACATAAATGACATGTTCAAACGTACTGGAGGGTATGGTGCCTTGAAGGTAATTATGATACAATGTTTAACAAGTATTGATAGGTAGTGGTCAGGAAATCAGTAATGATTAGTAAGTTCACACTAATATTTCTTTTGGGAAAAGTAATTTAATAATTATTTTCATTGCAGCGCTACATCTTGGACTTGATACTGCCACTGTACAATGCTGTCGGCTTCGAGGACAATATCAACGACCCTTATTTGGTGCAACTAACGAGGGAAATAGCTGTGAGATGGGCTTGCAAAATGGGCCATAAAGACTGTCTGGATAAGGTCCTAGACCTTTATCGGCGATGGATGGTGACTCCTGATGATACTGGGTGGGTTCAATGTGGCAGAAAAATGTGTTATTGTGTCTTCCTTATATTGCAACTTGACTAAATAAGTTTCTCACATATGAATGAATGGTATGTTTGACTAGTGATAGAAATTGAATTCCAGTATGATTTCATCTACTTCTCATTTCCAGCATATTAACCAATAAGCATGCACTATGTTTAGCCAAGATATATCTGATGAAACTACATAACTTATAATAAAATGATTGCATTCCAGTTTGATTTCACCCAATCTCAAGAATACGGTGTTTTGCCACGCCATAGCAGAGGGCGGGGAAGCTGAATGGAATGCAGCTTGGCGGCAGTACTTGAAGACTGATGTTCAAGGCGAGAAAAACAATCTCCTCTCCACCCTTGCTTGCACCAAGCAGGTCTGGCTCTTGATGAGGTAGGCTTTCTGTCTTTGTAGATATTTTCCTGAAACGGCATTCTTAGTTTGATGTGTGGACAGTTCGAATTAGCCTGAGAATTTTCAAGTTAATTAGTCATATTCACTATTGCACTTGTATTTTAGAGGTAAGCATATATCTCCACAGCAGAGACGCGGGAGACGTAGTGCAAAAGTCTGATGAAGTTATCTTCTGGAAATCTTTAAGAAACTTGACGAGTATCAAGGCAGCAGAAATGCCACAGTTCGAGTTGCAATGAAATTTACTATAATTCTGTACTACAGCTCTGTTATGAAGCAACAGATACACGTCTGAGCACCGGATATAACACATAGGCCCAATACCCTGGATTCTCTTACTTCAACAGGTACTTGGAGATGGCAGTCACTCCGGGCAAGGGCATCAAGCAGCAGGACGTGGGCCTCGTGATAGGGAGCGTCAGCAGAAATGATGTGGGTCGCTCTTTAGCTTGGGATTTCCTCAAGCTCCATTGGAATAACATCATTACCTAGTAAGTCACGTTGATTTATAAGTAAATTCAGATCACAGTATGTTATATACAGCAAAATGAATTAAAGTACATTCTGTTCTTAATGCACGACTGCAGAAAAGGGCACTAGATGGAAACGTCTAGTTTATGGGGAAGCTCTTGTGATAATGATAAAGTGAAATTAAGATGAATAAGGAAAGTAGAATATATACATTGATATACACACACACACACACACACACACACACACACACACAACACACAGTACACACATTCACACACACACAACACACACACACACACACACACACACACACACACACACACACACACACACACACATACACACATACACATACACACACACATACATACACACACACACACACACACACACACACACACACACACACACACACACACACACAACACACACAACACACACACACACACACACACACACACACACTTTCTACTGTACACTGAGCAAATTAACATCTTTTAAATTCAACGTAAAGCAAAGGGTATACAGAGCAACTGGTAAATATATATCATTAAATAAATTAGTCAATTGTCCTTAATTCTACAGCAAGAAGAGTAAGAGAGGCGGGATGTTGAAGGCTGTGACGAGTAGCTTCAATACGAAACAAGATCTTGAAAATGTAAGTACTACTCTGCTGTCAGATAAGAACTGATAATCCTCTTTCTGCTTGATGTGTTAATAACATATGCACATTAAGGTTTCGCGAAGGGCACAGTTCGTGTTTACATTGATGATCAAAGTTGATAGCATTTATACGTATGACTGTTCCCGATCAACAGCATGGAGATTATGAATTATAGATGTGATGGCTTACAATCACTGTTGAACCCGAAATGTACCTGTATTCAAATACCAACAAATAAATTACCTTGCTATTACAGTACAGTAAATTACCTTTCTAGTACAGTACAGTAAATTACATTTCTAGTACAGTATAGTAAATTACCTTTCTAGTGCAGTACAGTAAATTACCTTTCGAGTACAGGACAGTAAATTACCTTTCTAGTACAGTACAGTAAATTACCTTTCGAGTACAGTACAGTAAGATATCGCATTTTTCTCTTTTTCAGCTGGAGGCGTTCTTGAGCAACGACAACACAGACCTGGACGGCAACCAGCGCACGGCCAAGCAGGTGTTGGAGAGAGTCCGGAACAACGTGGCTTGGATGGACGCCAACTACGACAGCATCGTTCAGTGGCTTGAGAAGAGCGGTTATTCTTCTAAGATTGAAAGTGTCTGAGCTTCGCGATCTATGTCGGAGTGACAGTAGTGATGTATCCAGCGGTGGTTGTATTGCACAGGATCTGATGTTTGTGTCGTTTTAGTCTTTGATAACTTACATTTGATTGTGTAATGGTGTTTAATCTGTGTGTAAGCAATGTTATAAATATTTGATTTGATTTGAAGAAATTAGTTCGAGAAATCAAATGGCATACTCAAATGCGAAATTATTTTCATGTCGAATAGTAAAAAAATCTTACTACTAGATAAAGAAAAACAATAAATGATTTTTTATTTTTTATCTACTTTTATTTATTTATTTATATATATATATTTTTACCAAGGTGTATGCAATATCTTTACATGATATTAAAACGCATATGTAGTATTGCTTGTAGCAGAAAAAAAATCCACTCAGTTCTTAGACAATAAACATTTCATTCCTCTGTTTATGTGTACTTCCTCATAGCATTTGTTTGGAGTAATAAAAGAAAAGAAAATAGAATATATGAATTCAATGACAAATTTCGATAATATAGATCACTTTTAAATGTGCGATAGGGATTAATTACGTAAAAAGTAATTTCATGTCAGTACTTTTTATTTATCATCCATCAATGTGTGTGTACCTAGCCACATACGCATGTGTAGTTCCTTCAGCATTCAAGATTTTCCTATCGAAATAGAATAACAGTAACTATAACACTTTATTGAGAGAGGAGAGGGAGGGAGAGGGAGGAGAGGAGAAGGAGGAGGGAGAAGGAGAGGGAGAGAGGGAGAGGGAGGGAGGGAGAGGGAGAAGAGGGAGAGAGGGAGGAGAGGAGAGAGGGAGAGGGAGAGGAGAGAGGGAGAGAGGAGAGAGAGGAGAGAGGGAGAGAGGGAGAGAGAGGAGAGAGGGAGAGAGGAGAGAGGGAGAGAGAGAGAGAGAGAGAGAGAGAGAGAGAGAGAGAGAGAGAGAGAGAGAGAGAGAGAGAGAGAGAGAGAGAGAGAGAGAGAGAGAGAGAGAGAGAGAGAGAGAGAGAGAGAGAGAGAGAGAGAGAGAACGATAATAGCGTTATTATACTTAATAATTGTCTAACATTAACATACCAAAAAAAAAAAATATATCTTAATGAAATGAGAATATTTGGTTTGAGTTTTGCGAGTTAGAAAAACAAATACTTTTAAACATTTAATTCTCATGGTGGCGCAACAATAGTAAACGTACATTTAGTCTATGATTATGAAACAGCAAAACCCTAATCTCAAATAGGCTTTATGTATGTAAAAGGACATAACAGTCACCCATCTTCCGTGGATAATACATCGGTATGAACAATTATATACATATATTTCTGAATGCTTACATTAAAACAACATTCAACCTCAATAATATCAAGAAGTTAAAGATTCCTTAGAGATTACCGATTTTTTAGCAAACCGTGAAAACATACAATACATGAATCCAAAATGAAATGGCTAACTAGTTCAGCATTAGTTCAGATCAACGAGTAGTGCAGAATCAAAAATTAGGAAGAGTATCCATTATCTTTCAACCAGCGGGCAACAACTTCATAGTACGATTCCTTCCAGGCAATATTGCTCCTAATCGTCTCTCTCACTTGCTGGATCGCCAGGTGGTTTCCGCTCATATCAGTCGTCTTGTTACTTAGAAACTGCTCCACCTGAGAGAGAAAAGGGGAATTGATTTATGCGATGGCCTTCGGAGTGAAAATTTGCCATGGTTTTGTTTGTTAGTCTGCATTATCAGGCGCTGAGGTATCTTCAGTAACCTACAATAAATATCAATATCTGTGGCTTAAACATTAAACTACACACAGAATGCATATGCTCGATTAATGGATGAATCTTTATATCTGCAGATAGGCATGTCAAAGTAACGAATTCACTGTTGCAGCCTCTTCATATGTCACTCCGGAATGCTACATGGAGCGGAACAGGAACGTTAGAAAAACCTCATTCTATGCAAATGGGAAACAATGGATAGTTTAGAGACAGGTTATCTTTTCCTAAATAGAAAAATGCATTAAAAATTACCAAACGTGATCAAAGGTAGAGACCTGCCCTTTGATAAACGTAAACTTTAATGAGTGGGAGATACCAAGCTGGGAAATCATGACAAAATTTCAGAACTTTTAAATTTTCAAATAGCCCTATCTCAGCAGTCTACTATGAACTTTTAACTTTCCGTGCGTTTCAGCTTCACCTTAGTTCCACCATAATATGCAGCAGTTGTGTTTTACATCAAAACAAGCAAAACTACTGTTTATGCATTCATACCTGTTCCGGGGCCACGTCGCTGATTATAGCTTTCATTACCTCGCCTCTATAGCTCTTCTTGCTGTCGAAAAGAAAGAATGTTAGTGCCATCGACAGACTTAAAGCTATTCAATGAAATTATATACTGCGTTTTGGGTATATTTATCTTAAAAACGGATTATTTTGTGTGTGCATGACATGACTTACTAGGTAAACATATCATTCCAATGGAGGGTCAGGTAGTTCCACGTTAAAGAACCACCGATAGCTGACAAAACTTTCCAAACGTCGTGCTGCCTTATGTCACCGTCTTCATCAACCACCATATGCAAAAATCTGTCAAACAGGTCAGATTCACGTGAAAAGAGGTACACCTACTTCATTTTTTTATTTTTTCTTCTAATTTTTTAATGTTTATGATGTCGGCTTAATTTTAAAATGTGGTACCTCGAACGTATGAGGGAGTCTGTAGTGCAAGCGAGAGCTCTCAGGAAAATGGGCTTTTGACTTGCGACGTCTGTCTTCAGGTACTGTCTCCAGGTAAAGTTCCAGGCAGCCTCATCACCCTTCTTTATACCGTTGCAGAGCACACTCGGAGGGATTGTGCTACAACAAAGAAATTGAACGACACTGTCAACAATCAAAATAACTATGATAATAACTCCAACAACGGTATTAATCATTGACTGACACACAGGAAAGACAAAGAACTGCATCTGACATGGAGAAAGAAAGATTATGTACTGTACCTTCCAAATAAACTTACCTAAAGTTGTCGGGATTAAGCATCCACTGGCGGAAGAGTGTGAGCGCCTTATCCATACAGTCCTTGTTGCCGAGTCCACAGGCCCATTTTCTGACTATCTCTCTATTCTTCTTTTCCAGGGGCGAGTCCCCGTCTCCGTCATCAAACGCGAAAGCCTCGTACAGGGGCAACACCAAGTCTGACATGAAGTCCTGTAATGCACCTTTTCTTATTCAGTAATTCATGCACAGATTTCTCTCTGTTTCATTCTCTGCTTGTATATGTGTGTATATGTATGTATGTATGTATGTATGTATGTATGTATGTATGTATGTATGTATGTATGTATGTATGTATGTATGTATATATATATATATATATATATATATATATATATATATATATATACACACATACATACATATGTATGTGTTCATATATATTTATAAACATATATGCACACATGCATACATATGTATGTGTTCATATACACACATATATAATATACATATGATATTTTGAACACTTATTGTGTAAAAAGTGTGGATACAAATTTTCAAGCTCCTAGCTTAATGGAAACTAGTTTTCTGAGCTCTCAAAAAAAGTTTTCGTCTGAAACAGGGTTTGCTTATTGGCTCGCTGGTTTCTGCGGTCGGGTTCGCCGCTCCTTTGCCTCCTTTTCGGGTTGGACTCTGGGGCACTATACACACACACATACATGCTAGTCTGTTTGTGTATGCACTTATATTGTTTTGTTACCTTGAGGGCATCAAATTCGTTGGATGCTTTCAACATGAAGTTAAGATTTCTGACAGCTGCAGTCCAAGGCAGGTATTCAGTCTCGTTCCTTAAATAAGCAAACACTCCGAGGGCAATCCCGTAGCTAAGTTGACCTGAAAGAGCGATAAACTATTTTAATGAATTGGTGGTTTTATAAATCTGGGTAAATCTGCCTTCAGTGGGAGACATTTCTGGTGCCCTTAATTACAAATGACAGAACTACAAGCTATGTTACCAGCTCTTGCAAGATTCATGGCATCGTCAATGATTTGGGCTCGGTTAATGGGATGAATAGCCTTGTGGTCGTCCTTCAGCTGCTGGATGAGGAGGCCCCAGTTGTGGTCGTCGTAGTTGACCCTGTAGTAGCCCGTCTGCTGCAGGTTGAAGATGACCCACTGGTCCTTCGGGGGAAGGGACGAGAGGCGTATCTGTGCCTCGGAGTCCTTCATCCACACCACGGCCCGAGTCTGGTTGAAGTTGGCCTCGCTCTGGGTCGTGCACGTCAGGGGAACCCACCACCCGTAGTCGCCGTTTATATCTTCGATAAGGAAACGTTTCTAAAAAGGAAAAGGATAAGATGTAGAATCGTCTGACTTTTCCCATTTTGTGTTTCAGTATTTTGAAAAAAGTAAGGGGGGGTGGACCAAAACAATTATGTATTGTGCCCTTGTGAAAATGTTGAAAACTGAACCACCCCGAAGTGATATAAAAATTACCTTAGTAACAGTGGCAGAGGAGCCATCTGATGTTCTCATTACATGCACGACTGGATAACCCGCTTGCAGTGTCCATGCGTCCATTATGTCCTTGACAGTCACACCCTCAGGCAGAGTACCGCCCTCACTGGCAGCGACTGATAGATGTTCCCACAGGTCGTTTTGCGTTGCACTTTCATACTTGCTGAAAAGAACGCGAATAAAAGCTATGAAATACTTTAAAGAGTGAATTAAATACTGAATTACTTTTCAAGTCGCATCAGTTGATAATCTATCAACGACTCTATCAACGTTGCACGTATACACAAGACCGTCGTTATTGCTATGTTAAACCATGTATCACATTTACAGAGAATTTAAGTAACTGCTGAGTCCCTTCTGGAATGTAGCCTTGTCCAGGTAGTGTTCCATCATCCTGATAATCATAGCTCCTAGGATGTTGAAGAAAAGACCTCATTAGTTCAAACGTGTGAATCAAAGTTGACAGTATTTAGATACATGGTACAAATAAGAGTAAGGTTTACGGATCTAAGTTCACTGACCTTTTGTGTAAGTTATCATATCAAATATCTCATCTATTTCGTCTGAATGACTGACAGGGATGCTCATCCTGTGCGATGACTGCAGACTGTCCAGTTGAAATACTTTTTGAAGATTTTCAATGACGGTCGTTTCCATTACTTTCCATGTCGGTTCTGCCTAATAAGGTACCGTAAAGGGTTAATAGATCCGAGAGAGAGAGAGAGAGAGAGAGAGAGAGAGAGAGAGAGAGAGAGAGAGAGAGAGAGAGAGAGAGAGAGAGAGAGAGAGAGAGAGAGAGAGAGAGAGAGAGAGAGAGAGCAAGAATTTCACTTGTCTCTTCACGGATATTTCATTTTAATCCATTGATATGAGATGAATGGAATAGGCCATTAAGAGCACAGGGTATCAGAAGTTAACTTACAAAATCCGTGCCCAGGAAAGCCATGTAGGTGGCGAATCCCTCGTTGAGCCAGATGTCGTTCCACCAAGCGGCCGTGACCAAGTTGCCGAACCAGTTGTGGGCTAATTCGTGGGAGATGGTTTGTACCATGACTGCCTTTTCCCCCAAAGTAGAGGTATTGGGGTCGTCCAAGAGGATTGATTCGCTGGTCAAGGAAACGGAAACTGATAATGTGCAACTTTCAGAAAACCACGTCTGCCTTTTCCCCCAAAGTAGAGGTATTGGGGTCGTTCAAGAGGTTTGATTTGCTGTTCAAATATACGGTAACTGATAATGTGTATCTTTCAGATATACCTAAGTATGTGGGAGTGTGCATGGTTGTACTTGTTAGTTAATCATGAATACCTCTTGAGAAATTGTCACTGATTCATGGGTAATATTTCAAACACGATGAATAATCTGACGTATCAGTTCATTAATATTTCTCGCTATATCATCCTGCTGATTTGAAGTTGGCGGTTGTCATATAGGAATATGAATAGAAACCGATATGTTTAAGACAAATAGTCTACTTGCATTCACTTGTACTAAAATATGGAAAAGGAGACCACCGTGTCTTTAGAAATATGGATTATGTCTCATGATTGTGCTTCTTCAGGGAACTCCCGAGTCATGTTTTTTTTTTTTTAATTTTACATTGCACTTCATGACAGTCATCCATATTTCATGCGTGAAAATTATTATTGCATGCATGCCGTTCATCAAAACATTATGTACTTGACTGTAAAGGAAATTATATAGTTTACACGAATAACTTTACAAAACAAGTTTGTTGACTTTCAATCAATCACCTTCAACATATGCATCATTTCCAGTTGTAAAAACTGTCCCGAAAAAGTTTTATATATTGTATATCCCTTATATCAATTAAAACTTAATACAATTATAGTTTTATATTAGCTGTAGATATTATTTTGATTGTAAGTCTTAAAAAAATCTAGCATTTTATCATATGATTACATTCGGACACCGACGTGCAATAAAAGCATATTTCTTTCTATCAAGAGTCGAAATGCCTTGTATGGAATTCCTTGATACATTTGGGCAATTGTATAGTTGTTGCTATATATTCACTGTAACAAGCATGGATGAATAAATGGGAGAAAGAGGGCGCGTGAAAGTGAAAATATACGAAAAATATATATAAAGATTGACAAAAAAATAATGACTAAATAGAGAGAGAGAAAAATAGAGGGAGAGAGGGAAAGTCGTTCGATTATATGCACATTCTAGATGTGATTCCCACAGACCAAGGTGTAGCGTGTAGGGTAGTTTCACCACACCTTTTGCGCCTGGCAGCGGCATACCCGCTGGCCAATCAACAATCTGTGACGTCACTCTCCCAAAGTCCTGACGCCCCACCTTTGGGAAAAAGAAGACGACGCTCTTATTTTCATCCCTACTTAAAAAAAAAAAAAAAAACATTTTATAAAACACTTACCGGTAAGTCATGAGACCCCAGTTCTCCATGGCGCCCGCGGAGAAATCTGGCACGGCGATCATGTCCTGCTTCGCCAGAGGGTAAGACGTGCCCAAGAACTCCTCGAAGAAACGCATCACCTTCGGGCCGACCTCCCTGGCGCTGTGGGCGGCGTCGATGGCCTGCCGTCGCGCCCACACTGCGCCCGCGGGGATGGAGGGTATGGGCGTTGTTACTCGTGTGCGCTTCTTTGGGCGGCGTGAGCGTATATACGTGCATGCATATATATTTAAATATGTGTGTGTGTGTATGTTCGTATATATCTATATATATACACACAGACACACGCATATATATATATATATATATATATATAATATATAATATATAATATATTTATATATATATATATATATATATATATTGTCTATATATATGTATATAAATACATATATTCATATGTATGTTATATATCTATATATGCATATATATGTGTATGTATATATAAAAAATGTATATATAAATACACACACAAACGCAGTATCTATACATTTATGTATATATATATATATATATTATATTATATATATATATATAGTATATATATTATATATAATAATATATATATATATTATATATATATATATATATATATATATATATATATATATATTATATATATGTATTAATGTATTATATAAATATACATATACGTATGCACACACACACACACACACACACACACACACACACACACACACATATATATATATATATATATATATAATATATATATATATATATATACATATATATAAAGATAGAGAGAGAGAGAGAGAGAGATGTGGATATATACACCTCTCTATCTATCTTTCCACATATATTGCAATAAGAATGACTTACCTCGAAACAGCACGCGGTCATGTTCGGTAGACTTAACGAAGACGAAGTCCGACACGACGAAGGCGACGAGGTAGGTGGACATGGGGACGCTCCTCTCGAAGCGGTCCCACACCCAGCCCTCCTGACCCTCGCTGTGCGTGCCAACATCAGCCATGACGCAATGCAAGATACAAATCAAATGAACTTTTAAAGTATTTCGGGTACGAATGCCTGTGCGTAAGTGAAATAGTTAGGATAAGAAATCAAACTTTCTTGGGCTTTTGGCCAAGAAAGATTAACTTCAGCAGCAATACTCACACAGGTCGCGTCTCGGCGAGGGGCATGTTGGAGAGCGACGTCATCCAGGTCTCCCTCGCCAGGTGGACCTCGAAGGTCGCCTTCAGGGCTGGCTCGTCGAAGCACGGGAAGGCGCGGCGGGCGTCCGTGGGCTGGAAGTGGGTCGTTGCCAGATTCCTAGGACGATCATTTTTCATTTGTTGTGTTTATAGAATCAAATACAGTTAAGCTTGTTTGTATGAAGATGATAATGATCATGGTGGTGGTTATGATAATGATGAAACTACTTTTTAAAATTTTTATTATCAGTTTCATTATCGTTATTTTTATTATCATTATTAACTTAACTGCTATCATTATTACTACTGTCATCACCATCGTTTTCTACGTCTTCATCATCATTACTGCGAGTTTCTTATTATCATTAACATTATTATGAGTTTTTAAATTATTATTATTATTTCTCTTCTCCTTAACATCTTTACAATTGCTATCATTACTAGTACAATCAATTATAATGCTATTATCATCGAACCACCTCTTGTACCGTGCTTTTTCATACTGGACCGAACAACGAATACTTACCTCTTGCTTCCATCGACGTCGGTGTAGGTCGACCTATAGAACCCACGCAGCTGGTCACTGAGGTAAGCCCGGTACTCCACGGACAAGAGGTACGTTCTGCCCTTCTGCAGGAACTCGCTGAGGTGGACGACGTAGAACTGCCGTGCTGGGTCGTACTGCTGGGACCTGATCATCACTTCCCGGTTGGCTTCTTCTTCTAGAGCCAACAGCTTCAAGAAGGGTTGTGTTAGGCATTATCCTTAGCTATCTTAACATCCTTAGGCAGGTAGATTCTACTTCATTTAAGATAT